TGTGTAGTGGGCAGAGCAGGGCACCGTCTAACACGGGGGAAATGTAACAAGGATTTTTTATAAACAGGTTCCAGCAGGACATGCTTTGGTCACATTCCTGTGTTCCTGAAGATACGGCATCTGTTTCAGGCAGATGTTTCTCCAGATCCACCAGATCCAGATGAACAGCTCACAGTGAGCGATCAGCCTACAGTGCAGACTTCAGCACTGCTGTCCTCGAACTGTATCTTCTTCTTCTGATTACTATTATTATTATTATTATTAATTTATAAATTTTTATTATTATTTTTTAATTATGCAGGATTGTTGTCCACTAACTCATCCTGCAGTTTCTGACACTTCAGAATGTTTGGCCAAAAAAGTTTTTGTCATCCAGCTTATGTCATGTTAATACAAGTCCCTTAGCAAAACCTTATTAACCTTGTGGGGAACCATAGCAACCATCTGACAACACCCTAACAACCAGCTGGGATACCATAGCAACCGCTTATTATCTAGCTAAAATACCATAGTAACTTCAGCAACAGTTAAGTAAGTTGTATTTATAAAGCACTCTTAAAACAACTTGCATTGACCAAAGTGTTGTACTTTAAATCAGCACAAGCATAAACAACACAAGTAAGAGATTAAAATATGAAAATAATAAGAGTTACATAAAACAGGGAAGAAAAAAGGGTGAGTAAAAGAGTAAAAGTGAAATAAAAAACAAATAAGATGAAGAGTAAAAAAAAAAAAACACCCAAAAACAACAATTCAGAAACACCATAGCAACCACCTAGCAACACCCTATTAACCATGTGGGGAACCATAGCAACCACCTAGCAACACTGTATTAACTATGTGGGGATCCATAGCAACCACCTAGCAACACTGTACTAACTATGTGGGGAACCATAGCAACCACCTAGCAGCACCCTATTAACCATGTGGGGAACCATAGCAACCACCTAGCAACACTGTATTAACTATGTGGGGAACCATAGCAACCACCTAGCAACACTGTACTAACTATGTGGGGAACCATAGCAACCACCTAGCAGCACCCTATTAACCATGTGGGGGGAGCCACCGCAACCACCTAGCAACACCCTATTAACCATGTGGGGAACCATAGCAACCACCTAGCAACACTGTATTAACTATGTGGGGATCTATAGTAACCATCTAGCAGCACCCTATTAACCATGTGGGGAACCATAGCAACCACCTGAAATACCATAGTAACCATTAGACAGCAGCCTAGCAACCATCTGGAAATGGCTTAAGCCGTACAATTACATTTTTAATGTGTACAGCTGTTCATATCATAACCTTTATTGCTGTTACGAAAAAGGAAATAAAATGAAGTAAAAATAGAAAAACAGAAAATTTTAACAAAATAAAATGATTATTAATAATAATAATGATAATCTATGTAAGATGAAGTAACTATTCCTGATAAAAAGTCAGTGTAAATAAACTGTTTCAGTCTGTTTTTAAAGCTGTTAATAGCTGATGATCCTCCATCAACAAGACAGTTTCAGACGTTTTACTGAATTTTGGGAACGTTTATCAGGCGACACCTGATGATCTTAACGGATCTGTATTCCGTCCGGAATTCTGAGACGTATGAAGGTGCTGATCTATTAAGAGCAGTTTTACAGTTCTGGTCTCACTTTATCTGGATAGTCCTCTATACAGGTTTTGGGTTGAGTTTAAGGTAAAGGTTAGGATTAGGATTAGGATTAGGATTAGAGCAGGTTCAGAGTTAAAGGACATTATGGTCACTCTCCTCAGTATTTAGCTGAATGTAAGTTAAATTAAGTATCTACACAGAATCTGAACTGACCTATCAAATACAGTGTAAAGTCCAAGATTCACTGAAGACGAAGCTGTAAAATGTCTGTGACAATATCAATATCATCAGTAACTGTGTTGTTTGGAAATAATTCAGCAGATGCTGAAATCTCAGATGTCATGAGGAGATGAGAATCAGGACGTTCTCACAGTTCTCAGGAGGGAACCTCCACACAGCGCCGCTCAGCTCATCAGCGCCACCGGAGCTCGGGAACAAGGTCAATTAGTATTGACCGGGTCTGTCCCCGGGGGGGTTGGGGGGAGGGGTGTCTGGATCAATACTGCCGTCTCTGTTCAGAGACACGTCACCGCCTCAGTGCTGACGTCTGTCACTGTGTGCTGTTTATTAATGCAGTGGAACCTTAGCAGGAACATCTAACCAGTGTCTGGAACCTCCAGGTCAGCCTTACAGCTACACTGAACATCCTCACCAGCATCTTCTACATCTAACATCCTATACACGTTCCACCATGTTCTAGAGTCCTGTACATGTTCACCATGTTCTAGAGTCCTGTACGTGTTACACCATGTTCTAGAGTCCTGTACGTGTTCCACCATGTTCTAGAGTCCTGTACATGTTCACCATGTTCTACCATCCTGTACGTGTTCCACCATTCTCTACGTGTTCCATTATGTTCTACCCTCGTGTACATGTTCCACCATGTTCTACCATCTTGTATGTGTTCCACCATGTTCTACCATCTTGTATGTGTTCCACCATGTTCTACCATCTTGCACGCGAAGTTTTCTTTAATGTATCATATTAAGCGCATCAGAAGCTGCAGTGAACCAGCTGCAGTATGAATCTGCACAGCTGGATCAGTGATGAACTCAGAGCTGCTGTTGGTGTTTTTGGTGATTAAACTGTAAAATTGCATCAAATCATAAAAAATAAAAATATTCTGTGTTGTTCAAACAGACCAGCACAAAGTCCAGGATCCACCGGATCAAACGTTTTTAATAGTCTTAAAAGCTTCAAATTAGATTTTAAAATTAAAAGAACTGTGTTGACACCTACAGGTATGTGCAAAAGTTTGTGCGCCCCTGTTTAAATTCCATGTATGTTCTGAGTGTAAATAAGTTACAGATCCTCTACAGAGACTCACTACTGTGCACTGTAATACACACCTACTGTTCATTTACTGAGTTTAACACAAAAACATCGTAAAATGCCGCCTGTGCAAAAGATACGGCACATTTTATGTGTTATTTTTAATTTTTTAGTCAGCAAATTTTCAATTTTTTGCATGTGACTGTACGCATGAGTTTATTTCCAAAACAAAACTTTAAAATGTAAAAATACTTTTTGAAATGTCTCCACAGTGACTGAGCGGTCAGAAGCAGAACGTGAGCCGCTCTGAGATTAAGGCGATTAGTCCATTCCAGCGTGTTTACGGTGGAAAACAGGGATTAGCTGGACATTAGCTAATGTTCTGCATTACTGACCTGCAGCACGTTCGTTAGCGCTGACTCAGCATCACGTCTCCACCAGTTTAATCAGTTCCAGACCAGAAACACTGCTGACAACTGAAACGATCTTAATTTCAGAGTAAACATCACATATTTCTCATTTTGAGGAATTATAATTAAAATATTATCTGATTAATTAACTTATTTATAAAAAGTTTCCTTTTTTTACTTTTGTTTTTACTTTAAATTTAAGCATTAATTCTTCAAAAAGCAATTAATCCAAATCAAAATAATCTGCTAAAAGAAGAAAAACATCTAGAAATAAGTTATAATATTCTTGCTACAATCTCAGCAAGAGAAATATTAGATATTTAGACTACATTTAATCATTTCACTACCCAATATATCTTTTGTTTGTAGAGTAAATGTTAGATTTGTTTTCAGAAACATTTAGTGTTGAAAATTGTCATGTTAGAAATGATATTTAACCTTAAATCGGGTCATGCTGACATTTAATAACATGCTGTAAGATACTTACAGTCCAGCTCAGATCCAGGGATATAACAGATATATAAAGATATATAACAGATAAACAGTGATATACAGTACAGTGGATTTAATTTCAGTTGTAGAAATCTATTTTTGCCTCATCCATCAAAAACAATGTACATTTTTATTTTAGAATGTGATTTTTTTTAATAAAGGGTGATTCAAAAAGATTCATCCGATTTCAAAGCGCTCACATTTTTCCAACTGTGAAGTGCCGAGGAACCAATCACAATCCAACTGAAAGAGGGGGTCATAGAGTTTCTGACGGTCAGTGGAAGATGGCTCCTTCAGTCTGAGAGGAGATGAGACCCCTGAGCAGAAAGAGTTCTGCGTTCTCCACTTCAATAAGAGTGAATCCGTCATAACTGTGCAGAGTGATATCCGTCTGCAGTGAAGCTCCAACAGCTCAGAGTGTTCGTCGCTGGTTCCACAACACTGGATGATCTCCGAAATCGCACTGGAAGAGCCGTGAGTGCAGCGACACCCGACACGCTCAATCCAGTATGGGATGAGTTTGACTATGGCGTTGATGTTGTCTGTACAGCTGGAGGAGGTTCAGACTGAGACCTTGTACAATTACATAATAAACTTTGTGCTCATTTAAACCATTTACAGTTCACTGCACTGATCTGTAACGATATACAAGGGAAATAAATCGTTTTGAAATCAGATGAGTTTTTAAATCACCCTGTATTTGGCCTTAAACAGTTGTTGAACTGTACTGTGAATCATGAACACATTTCTAAATTGAACCGAAATCTTATTTATTTTTCTTAAAGAGAATAATAATAATAAAAAGCACTTTGCTCAAAACGTTTGGACAAACAACTTTATTTCTGATTATGCATCTATACACTGTACATTCGGTCACTGCGGTATATAAGCAGAGCTATTTTCAAACGCAATCTCATAGAGTCCTTTATCTTACAGTCTATACGAGAGAGAGAGAGAGAGAGAGAGAGAGAGAGAAAGAGAGGAGAGAGAAGAGAGAGAGAGAGAGAGAGAGAGAGAGAGAGAGAAAGAGAGGAAGAGAGAGAGAGAGAGAGAGAGAGCGAGAGAAGAGAGAGAGAGAGAGAGAGAAAGAGAGATGAAGAGAGAGAGAGAGAGAGAGAGGAAGAGAGATGAGAGAGAGAGAGAGAGAGAAAGAGAAAGAGAGGAAGAGAGAGAGAGAAAGAGAGAGAGGAAGAGAGATGAAGAGAGAGAGAGAGAGAGAGAGAGAGAGAGAGAGAGAGAGAGAGAGAGCGAGAGAGAGCGAGAGAGGATAAATAGGCCAGGATATTTTTTGTCATTCTGTATCTGCGGCATTAATAAAGAAGAAAGCATTTTTACCTCTTACATAAAAATAGGTGTGCTGTAAAATCGTAAAGTTTATAATATTTCGTTATAGCAGCAGTGAAGGGCTAAGATGATGAAGAACTGAACCAGGATATTAAACGGGGGATAAAAACGCTTCCGGATTCGACCGGAGCTGAAAAACGATACTTCTGTGTTACAACACTGATGAAATAAACGTCTTCAAAACAAAAAACAAAAAACAAAGCAGAACGAAACAGAGAGAACAGTAACAAACGCATTGCACAGGACAGAACGCGCCGGCGGAGAACTGGAGCCAAACCATGTCTGTATTTCTGCTAAACGCACTCGTGTAAAACAGGACAGCCGTCGTATATTTTCATTCAGAGGAAAAGAAAAAACAGAAACACAATATACAGTTATTATACAATAGCGTAAAAAGGAAAAGTAAACATATTTACAGTGGTGACTGTGATTAATTCCTACACTGACTAGCTCTGCTTCTCTAAACATGATCTATTATTGCTCTTTTATTCTCTCAGATTAGCATATTAGCAAAAGAATGGCTCTCAATTAGAAATTTCACCGTATTTTCAGCATAAACTCGGGAGCACCAACAATTCCTCCCTTTTTCTGTTTTATTCTTTTGTAAAAAAAGACAAAGTAAAAGTACACAGAGTGAAAAACAACTACAAAACAGCCTCATAGTGAAAATTCTCTTTATTTCATTTTATTTTATTTAAAACGCTGGGCTTTATTATTATTATCATTATTATTATTGTTGTTATTATTTATAGACCTGGCGGCTGGGCGTCTATCATCTCTATAAGCCACTAACCTTTACTTTTTATATCATTTAAATATACCTTAATATTCCTAAATTTAAAAAAGGAGGAAAAATATTTGAGAAATCTCAATAAGAATATTTGCAGTATTTGCAAATGACTAAAAAGCTATTCAGATAGAAGATACCAGAGGCAAACGCTGCACTAGATTGTTGCAAGGCAAGTGTATTATTTATTTATTCATTTGTTTATTTGTTTACTTATTTATAATAAAAGGAGAAGATATCAAAGGAATACTGACAAAATTGCTGCATTTAAGCAAAGATGGTCAAGTCAATTCTGGTAAAAGAGTGCAAACGTAAAAAAACACTCAAATTCTGGAAACCAAGCGCCCAAATACAGGCACTTAGGGCTCGCCAGCATTACAATGTGCACTGAGAAGTCTGCATTTAGAGCCTGTGTGTGTGTGTTTGCGTGCTCTTATTTTGAAATCTAAGATGTTCTGATAGACAGATGTTGCTGAATATTGCATAACACAATCAAAACAGAAAAAAACACATAAACACTATTATTAATGCCCGATAATTAGGATTATATGAATGGCTGACGACTTTCTTTCTCGTCAAATTCAAAACTCTCATGCATATAAAAGAAAATATGAGCTACTGAAAAAGACAAGCAAGAACAAACGTCGGAAAAAATACGTCAAAAAACATCAAGCGACAGCGCTTCAAAAACGTGACGTACATTCCGACTGCACTGTACCCAAATCGTCTATAAAACACAACGCATCATCAGTGTGGGCTTTCAGAGCCGCCCGTAAAGACGGTGGACGTCCGTGTCTGTCCTCACCGCTGTCTGTAAACGAATGATCTGAAATGTAGGCTGTAATACAGTAAAAAACCAGTAAACAAAACAAACGTTTTTAAAAAACTGAAATGAACTGGATCGCCCCTTTAGTAAGCAAGCGTATTTTCTGCCGAATGTTTATTTACAATATTTAGCCTTAAACATATGATTACATTGCATGTAACTGTGTTGCATATAATTAAGGAAAAAAAGCTCATTTCATTTCTACACTGGTGAAATAAAGGTAAACGTACAGGCGGAGGTGAGCGGCTAAGCGATATTCTGTTATGACAAAGTGCGATTCATTATCGTAAAGTAAAAAAAGGAAAGAAAAACATTCATATTTACATATAATTTACTCAAACAGAACATTTCTGCAGTTTCTGATAACGTCCACACGTCCAGCCCTGAAAAGAAAACGTTAAAAAAAAACAGCCGCCACGACTTAGCATAGCGCTAACTGTTAGCACTGTTTAGCATCCCAGCGATAGAAAAGCACAGTGAAGCGAAACCTCCCGCACAACCGAACGAACCTCGCCGAGCGCATCTTCTGAAGATCCGCTCACGGGTTCCCGACAGCGATGGCTTTGTTTGACAAGCATCAGGCGAGACGTGGGAGAAGGCCGCGCCCTTCACGGTAAAAAAGGGAACGTTTGAGGCTTTTTCACCGACGAAAACGACGTTTTTTTGTCATAACATAAGCAGAGTCTTAAATAGCTTATTACAAAGTGAACTGTTTTCGTCAGGAGGAGCATAGAAAAACGGGAAAAACAAAATAACAGAAAACAAACACACACGAAGAGCGTTCCGCTTCGGCAGCATGCTCCGACGCTCCTCTGGAAAACAAAACAAAAATTCGCCGGATTCTCCTTTTCACTTTTCGCTTATGAAAGTCTTTAAAAGTCACTTTTTGCAGGCACAAGAATACGTTTGTGCTATTTTTTCTTCTTTTTTTTGTTCTATGTCGATAACTTCTTCTTCTTGATTCAGTGCTTTCAACAGTAACACGTGTTCGTTCCGTTATAACAGTGTCCACTCGCGCTTTTCTCCCGTGGTCACTCGGGGGAGTCCGTGTGTGGACGGAGCGAGTTAGTTGCTGGAGTCCTTGCTGGACGGTGTTGTCGGTGTCGACGCTGGCGTGTTTACGTTCTCCTTGTTTGTGGTTTTAGGCCACAGTTGCTCCTGTAGCTCCTTCACCACCCTCTCCAGGTGCTCCCGCGCCTCCCGCTCGTGCTGCAGGTCAGCCCGGAGCTGCTCGCGGTCCGCCTCCGCATGCTGGAGCTTCATCTGGAGCTCCTCGATCTGAAAACACACACAAATTATGTTTTACTAAACTTGGGAGGACTGACACTGGAAACAGTGATACTTTAACACTCAGGATGATCCAGATTTAACCAGTTTTATTCTAAATGTAGTTGATCAGCCAAGACGTTTTTGGGGTCTGGAGTTTGCTTGTGTGGTTTTAGCACTGGAGCTACCAGGCTAATGCAGCTAACAAGTGATAAAAGCCTAAACAGCAACAATTAGCATCACTATCTTGCCTCAAATCGTGTAGATTTAAGTAATCATCAATACACTTGATTATGGATAGACTGTTATCCGGTGAGGAACCACGTCTATTAGTGCCAGGTCTTCACTTCAAGTAATAAGAGTCAAAATTAAGTCGAAAAATTACCACCTCTTTACTAACTGCTAATTTCTGCTAGCACCAATATGGGATTTCTAATAGTATGTTAGCACCAAGCTAACTGTACAAAGACATATGAAGCTTGTAACAGACATTATCATATATCTGAGCTCATATGTATAAGCTTTACAGTAACTCTTTCAGTTCTCTTTCAGAAATAAAGGTTCTAATCTGTCTCTGGGTCAGTGCCCCTCTTGTCACTGGGGTGGAACCCTCAAGGCTCCATCTCAGTCCCTTTAGTCAGGGAACATAACTGAACCATAATCCACTGAAATGATATGTTCTAAGCTGTTCTGACTCCACACACCCCGTCTCGTCTCCAGGCTTTTATTTTACTGTTCTGTTTAAAACATTCGGTTATGAAAAGGTACAAATACGAACTTTTCACCTGGGAAAACTTATTTAAGGTTCACAATCAGACCTTAAAACCTCTGTTGGAGCTTTGAGGAACATTTACATTTATTTCTAACAATATAAAGAGCTGCTGCCGCTGTTTTCCATTCCTAACAACTACCTGAAACACTGCTTAGACTACAGCTCGTATTCATTTATCTAGAATCTCCAGAAGGCCTATGTTCTCTCTGAATTGGCCCCAAGTGTGATTGGTTGGTTCCTTGGTCACTTCCTAATGATGTTTGTAGTTAATCAAAGTGTGAGGCCTTCAGTCCAGCTCCTGAAGTCCTAACCAATGAGACAGCAGCTACCCAGATACCACAGAGAGAACAATCCTGATTGGATCATTTTTCATCAAGACTTTAATTTTATTACCAAGCAGAACTGAACCATGTTTTATTATAATTCTGACAGAGTTTAAAAGCAGCAGCTGTATTTTTAATTCGCTCTTCTCTGAAGCCCAGAAGACCCTGAGAGCTCAGCGCTGCTGTAACTCAGGCCTCATGATGGAGCTGCTGTTTTTAGATACGCGCCGTTCATGAACCAAAATAAAATGAGCCATCAGACGTACGAGCACGTCCTGCTAGACAGAAATCTAAGCCTCACTCTGTTTCAGTCTAAACAACACTTCCTGTGGCTGACAGGAAGTAGACTCATCTCTTCCTGTTTGGTCCTAAGCTTATCTCACGTCTGAGACCAACACCCAATAGTTTCACACATACAGCCCTCAGCGCTAATTACATCTCCGACTCTATTCCTGTATCTGCACCACAACACGAGAAACTGTAGAACGGACCCAGTTTATATCACAATACCTACATTTAGCGTCGGTTATTCATTCAACCTAATGAGAAACTGTAGAACAGACTCAGTTTATATCACAATACCTACATTTAGAGTCAGTTATTCATTCAGCCTAATGAGAAACTGTAGAACAGACTCATATGTGTAGCTCCCGTTGTACTGTGTTTATATACAGCAGTATGTTGTGGATGAATCAGTTACCTGTGCGGAGTATTTAGCGCGTAGCCGCCCCGCCTCACAGCCCTTATCACAGACTCGTAGCTGCCTGGCCTGCTCCAGCTCCCTCTTCAGCCTTGCTCGCGCTTCGTTTGCCTCCCGCATTCTCCGCTCTCCGTCCGCCCGCAAACGCTCGATCTCCTTCCGCAAACTTCGCTTCGCCTCCGTCGCCTCGCGCAGCTTCTCCTTCTTCGCCACACGCAGGAACTCCAGCTCCTACAAACAAAACACCAAGCCATGAGCATCTCTGCGGCTTATCGTCATAACCAGATGACGCCTGACGTTCACGACAGATCTCTGAAGCCGTGCGTCATGCAGGAGTCGGGTCGTGCCCCTGTTAGGAACTACAGGAGTTATTTATCTCTATGGACAAATTAAACATTGGGCCTCATTCACCAACCGTTCTTAAGAAGAAGTTTCTTCTTAAACCCACTTACGCAGTTTTGACACAGACTCTGATTAACCAGTGTTCTCTAATGTGGGGTTTGTTCTTAGGTAAGAACAGAATCTACACACTCGAGCACGAAGGTGAGAACAGTTCTGAGCTTTAAGAACAAGTCATGAATCTGACAGAGACTTTTCTTAGGACCTTCATCAAGAACACACTTAAGAACAAACTGAGGAAGATACTGGAGAACGAGGCTTAATGTCTTCCAAAACCATTCCTGTCTGAACTTGTGTTAAAGGAAAATGTTCCAAACCTGGTAAGTTTTGTTCTGTGTACATTTTTTCCCAGAATGTCACTGGATCCTCTCAATTACGAGATCATTAAGACTGAACTTTCTGCTTTAATTGACCATTTGCAAAATAACGACTAACACCTCTCAGCCAATCACAATCAGCCCCAAGCGTTCCTTCCACCTTCAGGCGAAAGGTGAAGTCTGCAGTGAGAACGACGGCGGCAGTAAATCAGAAATGGTGGAAGGAGTCGGTGAGGAGCGCATAAACTCACACTATCCTGATCACCTGGAGGATGGAGCTGCTATCATTTCATTCCTGAATGTTCCTGAAAGATCCAGTGTCAAAGACGACATCCTCAACGTCTAACACTGCCCGGACTAGCGTCAGCGTCAGCTTTAGCATTAGCTCATCCGAAGGTGCAGCTTCCATCTCTAAATACTCCTCCTTATTAAACCTGCCGCTTTAATGCTTTATGAGTTTGTAAACATGTCTGTCTGCACTGAACGTCTTCTAAAGTCAGTTTGTTTATGAAAAAGCGCCCATATGTTCTCCTCAGTGTTCTTCTAAATGTTTTTTGTGCTGCAGAACGTTTTAGCCTGTTAGTAGATGCCGCCAGCTGGACTGAGCTGAAAGATTGAGGGGCGTAGCAACAGTAAATAAGGGGGGCGACACTTTTTTTGAATTTTGCAGACTGATTAATTAGGTGTTTATTCCTAAAAATATAACTACCTTACTCTCTTAAAAAAGATGGTTCATCAAAGGTTCTTTAGTAAAGAACCCTTCGCATGATTAAAGGGTTCTTTGCATTGTGAAATTGTTTTTAGATTGATGGAGAATGTGCTGTAGAAAAAGGTTCTATATAGCACCAAAAGGGTACAAGCTTGACACCACAACAATAGAAGAACCCTTTTTGGTGCTGTATAGAATCACATACATATACGACACATTCTCCATCAATCTGGAGAACCATTTCACCATGCAGAGAACCATTTAATCACATGAAGGGTTCTTTGAGTGTTCATGGTTCTATATAGAACCATTTTCTTTACTAAAGAACCCCCATCTTTTTAAAGAGTGTACAGGTGCTAATAAACTGTCCACTCATCCCAGTTTTTAATAAAGCATACTGTGATCATACTGTAACCCAGAGCCCATAATATCTTGCTTATCAGATTGGTTGATTCCTATTTGTAGTTAATCTAACATGTAAGGCCTTCGGTCCAGCTCCTGAAGTCCTAACCAATAGGAGAGCTTGTTCTCTAGCTAGCTGATTGGCTCGGTGTGTGTGATGTAGGCTAACTTTCAGCTCAGTGTTTAGGTTAATAAGTCAACATGGCCTGACTGGCTACCAGAGCCACACAATCTTCATACAAGCTCAAGAGGAGTTCCACCACCTTACTAATACCCATGCAGCCCCGCCCACAGTGTAGGTGTCTGTTCTGAGGTGTACCTGCTGTAAGTTGCGCTTGGCCTGCAGAGCTGAGCCCAGTTTCTCCTCCTGCTTCACCCTCATCTTCACGATTTCGTGCAGAAACTTCTCCTTCGACTCTTTGGAGTCCAGTCCGTTCTCCAGAGCCTGCCTCAGAGTCTCCAGCTCGGAGTCCAGAGCCACTGGACCGTCGGCTGCCACGGCGACGGGTGCTGTGGCGACCCCGGATCCTGCCCCTGCCGTGGCAACGGGTGCTGCGGCGACGGGGCCAGGCACCGCGCTGGGAGAACTCATGTCTTTAGCAGAGCTGGAGGAGGACGTGAAGGACGGAGACGAGAGGGACGACAGCGAGGAGGTGACTGCAGGGAGGAAATGGAAACAGAATGAATCAGCCAGAAGAGACGCCAACTGAGATGTTATGGATTTTCCTGCCACAATGGCAGAGAAGAAGTACAGACAATGAACTTCAAACAAATTAAATGAACATCACTGTAGAGTCTGAACAAGTTAAAAACAAGTAAAATAAAAATGTAAAAGACTACAGACTACCACGCTTCGTCAGCCTCCATCAGGGATCGGCGTGGTCGAGGTAGAGACACCAGCGTCTACAGCTGCTGGGGCTTTGGCTTTAAAAAAACTCCAAAAACCATCTAATTGTCCACATTTTCTAAACTCTGTAGCTGCAAAACTTTTTATTCGGTGCCATGTCGGAGTGGTGGTGTGGGCTCGGACAGATGGCTCTCGAGCTGTATTTGAGTTCAACATTTCCTTTAGCTTTAAAGAAATTAGAGCTTCGACCTGTACAGAACATACTCGCAGGGTGAGTGATGTCATGCTGAAATTAGTCTGTGATGAGGAGTGAGATTACTTCTTCCAGGATGAAATTACATTACAGTCTGGCAGGAGTAATGAGTAACTTGTAATGGATTACTTTTGTTGAGTAACATGGAAAAGTCCATTATAACCCAAACTGTTTATATATATAGTCCATTATAACCCAAACTGTTTATATATAGTGCGTTATAACCCAGACTGTTTATATATAGTCCATTATAACCCAGACTGTTTATATATAGTCCATTATAACCCAGACTGTTTATATATAGTCCATTATAACCCAGACTGTTCATATATAGTCCATTATAACCCAGACTGTTTATATATATAGTCCATTATAACCCAGACTGTTTATATATAGTCCATTATAACCCAAACTGTTCATATATAGTCCATTATAACCCAGACTGTTTATATATAGTGCGTTATAACCCAGACTGTTTATATATAGTCCATTATAACCCAAACTGTTTATATATAGTCCATTATAACCCAGACTGTTTATATATAGTCCATTATAACCCAGACTGTTTATATATAGTCCATTATAACCCAGACTGTTTATATATAGTCCATTATAACCCAAACTGTTCATATATAGTCCATTATAACCCAGACTGTTTATATATATAGTCCATTATAACCCAGACTGTTTATATATAGTCCATTATAACCCAAACTGTTCATATATAGTCCATTATAACCCAGACTGTTTATATATAGTCCATTATAACCCAGACTGTTTATATATAGTCCATTATAACCCAAACTGTTTATATATAGTCCATTATAAACCAGACTGTTTATATATAGTCCATTATAACCCAGACTGTTTATATATAGTCCATTATGACCCAGACTGTTTATATATAGTCCATTATAACCCAGACTGTTTATATATAGTCCATTATGACCCAGACTGTTTATATATAGTCCATTATAACCCTGATTGTTTATATATAGTCCATTATAACCCAAACTGTTTATATATAGTCCATTATAACCCAGACTGTTTATATATAGTCCATTATAACCCAGACTGTTTATATATAGTGCATTATAACCCTGATTGTTTATATATAGTCCATTATAACCCAGACTGTTTATATATAGTCCATTATAACCCAGACTGTTTATATATAGTGCATTATAACCCTGATTGTTTATATATAGTCCATTATAACCCAGACTGTTTATATATAGTCCATTATAACCCAGACTGTTTATATATAGTGCATTATAACCCTGATTGTTTATATATAGTCCATTATAACCCAAACTGTTTATATATAGTCCATTATAACCCAGACTGTTTATATATAGTGCATTATAACCCTGATTGTTTATATATAGTCCATTATGACCCAGACTGTTTATATATAGTCCATTATAACCCAGACTGTTTATATATAGTGCATTATAACCCTGATTGTTTATATATAGTCCATTATAACCCAGACTGTTTATATATAGTCCATTATAACCCAGACTGTTTATATATAGTGCATTATAACCCTGATTGTTTATATATAGTCCATTATAACCCAGACTGTTTATATATAGTCCATTATAACCCTGATTGTTTATATATAGTCCATTATAACCCAGACTGTTTATATATAGTCCATTATAACCCTGATTGTTTATATATAGTGCATTATAACCCTGATTGTTTACATATAGTGCATTATAACCCAGACTGTTTATATATAGTCCATTATAACCCTGATTGTTTATATATAGTGCATTATAACCCTGATTGTTTACATATAGTGCATTATAACCCAGACTGTTTATATATAGTCCATTATAACCCTGATTGTTTATATATAGTGCATTATAACCCAAACTGTTTGAATCTTAATGTTTCTAATGTTCCTTTTTCAGCAGGGACCACATTCAGATCTTCTACCTGTTGAGAAATCTGCGCTAATCAGAGAAAGAGCTGAAATGTTCTTAGTTTATTTTTTCTCGCCGGACGTTCAGGACAATAAATCTTTCCTGAAACATCCGAGAGAGACAGCGTGAACATCAGCTCTGAAAAAATGAGTAAAATTCCTCAGGTATGAAGATAACAGAACACTGTTCGGTGTGTTTTTGAGGTGGAGGTTTGGTGGAGCTGCTTCTCTTTTACAGAGTGAATGTCTGTCAGTGTTAAACGTTTCTCTCTGCAGGTCCACCAGCCGCCACTTCCCAGAAACCTCTTTAAAACTCCAAGGCCGACCTTAAGAAAACCAGCAGAGATGAAGCGAGAGCTGTGCTCAGAATCCGCGTCCTGGTTGAGTCCCTGACATTAACACACATCGGCTTTGTTGTAGAGTGTTTCTGTTCTCTCAAGGCCCTCCGAGAACCGAGAAGAAACCCTTTAAACGCACTCCAGCGAGGTTTCGCTCTCAGCAGCTCTCAGAAACGCCGCGAGTAACTCCTCAAGGTCGGAACACAAAAGCTCCAAAACTCTCGACCCTCGGGAGATTTAAAAACATCGAGGCGGAGAAACTCGCGGCCTGGTTTTATTCTTTAGGGTTCACACTGTGCTGCTTTGGGCTGCGCGTCTTCCTGTTGCTAAGCAACAGCTGTCAATCAGCCATGCTAGAAAGCTGCCACTCTGATACGTACAGATGGAAAGCTCGGCCTGTTCCTTCAGAAAGTTTTATGTTGTGCTGATTTCTCTGAAATCGTCAGGCTAATCCTGCCTTTGTTCCAACTCTCGCTGAAGCTCCGTCTTCCTTTTGACCTGATTGGTCAGCGCAGAAAAGAAGGACAAAAAAACACGTACAAGACTCCCCCACTCAGAAATCACAAATACTGACACCAAATACAAAATCATGCTCGACTTTATATATTAACATATACAGTTTTCTGCATATGACATGGGAATATATATATATATATATTTATTCTCCAGCTGTTTTCAGCCTCAGCCAGTTACACTGAATGTTACACTGAAATTGGTTTTATTTCCAACAGTGACGACGTTTAACATAATTACTATTAGAGCAGAGAGTAGAGTAGAGTCAGCTTTGTTGTCATTGCTCAGTACAACTACAAGTACAAGGCAAGGAAATGTAGTAAAACCTGGGCTCGTCCAGATTATACTGACCACTGATAATCAGATCAGTCAGAGCACTGTTTAAATCACACTCCTGCAATTTGTTTCATTACTGAGCATTTAAAATGACCTCAGCTGATACATCATTAATTTTCCTCAGACTTTGGTGGTTAAAAACATTAAAACAGACTCACATTCATCTCGGACCTCGACCTCCACGTCCGAGTCCCTCTCCTCAGCAGGGGGCGGTGGGGGCCGGCCGGCCGTCGCAGACGGACAGCAGTGGACGTCACCGGTCAACTTGCGTTTCCTTGGCTTTGCGGCTCCGTCCAGCTGCGGCTCGGACTCGGCGGGGTGGGTGACGGTGGGGGGGGGGGGGGGCGCGGCGGGAGAAACCTGTGGAAGTTTCTGGAGCGGCGGCAGCGCGACATTCGGAGCCACAGCGCTCTCCAAACTCTTATAGTTATAGAAACTGCAGAGACAGAAACACCAGCAACTCCGTCAATAACATAATAATTAATAATAAAGGTTTCAACAGGTTATTTTTAAAGAATTTATTAGCTTCATTAAAAGGCTTAGGCTTTTAATCTTAAGACTACTATGAACTCATCAGTATCTACAGTTCATCTGTTCTCAGAACATAAAACTGAAGAGATTTGGAAAAAACAATGAGCTTTTATCACTTCATTTATCATTTAATTCTGTCTTTTGGTCAATGTGAGTGCTTAGTTTTAACAAAACAACAGAAACAACAACTTCAAATGTAAATAAAAGTGTGAAAATGATATAAAAATACAAAAAAATGTAAAACTACACACAGTTACACTGCAAAACAATGATATCTCGACAGGTCAAATGATCTTAAATCTAGTCCATATATCAAATATGTCTCATGCAAAGATTATTATAAGATTGTTTACTTATAACTTATTTTTAGACATTTTAACTTGTGTTATGTGATGGTAACGGACCTCGTTATACTGGCAGGTGAGTTATCATTTTAAGAAATATCTTTGAAACAAAAGTCAGATAATTTTACTCAATTATATTTCAGTAAAAATGTCTGAATAAATTAAATCATCTTATACTCTCTAAACTTACAACCTCAACATGAGAATCAGATACACTGAGTAGATTTAAGATCATTTACGTGCCGTTTTTATACAGTGTAGATGTTGATCTGAGCGAAACACTCTTAAAAAGAATCAAGGGTTCTTTAGTAAAGACCATGGTTCTTGGTTTGAACAAGGTTCTACTATTGTTACAATTTTACCTTTTTGATGCTATACAGAACCATTTTCAAACAGGCTCTATATAGAACCATGTGCAACTCATTTTCCATCAATCTGAAGAGCCATTTCACCATGCAGAGAACCATTTAATCATGCAAATGGTTCTTTGAGTGTTCACGGTTCCATACCAAACCACTGTCTTTACTAAAGAACCCCCCAAGAACCATCTTTTTTAAGAGTGTACGGCTCAGATGAACATCTACACAGCAAAAAACGGCACGTAAATGATTAAATCTACTCAGTGTATCTGATTCTCTGAGGTTGTTGTGAGTTTATTATAAGATTATTTAACGTATTTCCAGATATTTTCACTGTACAAATTTGTATGTAACTATACAGGATAATCACTTCGCCCTGGGTCTGTGCTGTTCTCCTGGTTACTCTGAAGGCCGTGTGTCAGGCAGGAGACGGTTAAAGCTCTGCTGGGTTCTAGCTGACAGAATCAGCTCTGATCTAGCAGGAGGGAAGGAGATTAATCAGCGTTTCAGGCTGTGGTTTTCTCTGAAATTCTTCTGCGGCTGGTTAAGCAGAAAAGGCCGCAGTCTCAGGGCAGGATGGTAAAAGAACGTTACTCAAAAGTGTTTCAGTCTGACCGCAGACAGTGACACCCTGCAGCCCTGCAGCTACGCTAGCGGCTTCTGACAGAAACATTCAACCAGAAACGACGAGGCTAACGCGGCTAACAGTGAACGAAAGCTTCGCAGATGAGCCTCAGTAAAACAGCAATGTTGTCTTTTTAGCTTTCTGGTGACTTTCCACCGTTTTGGAGGCCGCTGTGTGAGCTAAACGGTACATTTCCATGGAAACGCTCAGCACACTTTCAGGCACCGCTAGGGAGGAGTACACAGGCTCAGGCTTTAGCTAGCTAGCATTTAATTTCACACCGAGTTCACGATTGTGGTGAACAGTGAGTGAAATTGAAATCACCTGCACAATAAAACCGAAAAATAGGAGAGATAGAGGGGAGTGTGAGAGAGAGAGGGAGGGAGTGAGAAAGAGAGACAGAGATAGAGAGAGAGAGAGAGAGAGAGAGAGAGAGACAGAGAGAGAGAGAGAGAGAGAGAGAGAGAGAGAGAGAGAGAGAGAGAGAGAGAGACAGAGAAAGAGAGAGAGAGAGGGAGAGAGAGAGAGAGAGAGAGAGAGAGAGAGAGAGAGAGAGAGAGAGGGAGAGAGAGAGAGAGAGAGACAGAGACAGAGATAGAGAGAGAGAGAGAGAGAGAGAGAGACAGAGATAGAGAGAGAGAGAGGGAGAGAGAGAGAGAGGCTGCGGTTTGAGTCCCACCTTGTTTAATGTGATCTAGTGATATTAGGACCAACAAAAGACGCACTCCAGCAGAACCTGTCAATACTGGAGACTTACTGTAAAGACTGGGCCCTTACAGTAAATATAGACAAAACAAAAATAATGATTTTTCAAAATAAAGCCAGATTACAGGAGAAGAAATACCAGCTTACTTTTGAAGACACAGTAATATCACACACCACCAACTACTCTTATTTAGGTGTGATATTAAATTCAGCAGGACATTTTAAATCAGCGATTACAGCACTGAAGGAAAAAGCTCGCAGATCTTACTACATGATTAGAAAAACAATTTCCAAATTCAGCCCCCCCCCGTTACAATCTGGTTAAAATGATTTAAATCAGTAAGTGAACCAATAATGTTATATGGCAGTGAAATCTGGGGACTAGAAAGAACACAAAATTATGAAATTTGGGACAAAACACCCACAGAACTATTTCATCTTGAATTTTGCAAAGACGTCCTGCAGGTGAACAGAGGTGTCTCTAATCTGGCCTGCAGAGCAGAGCTGGGCAGGTTTCCGCTCATTCTGGACATCCAGAAAAGATGCTCTAAATTCTGGTACCACCTGACCCGGTCAGATCCAGACTCCCTTCACTATAAAGCCTTCATCAGCAACAAGACAGACCCAAATCACCCACTGACCCAGCTCGCCAGGATAAAGAACTTAGAGGCCAACCTGACAGCTCAGCGCTCCACACTGAGAGAGGCTGAGGATAACAGAGCAGATCACAGCCTCTACTGGAGAAACCAGATCACCCACCAACACAAACTCACATGATACGAAATGCTTGATCGAAAATACTCATTAGCCAATTATCTAATCAGGATCAAAGATAACAAACAAAGACAAACACTAACGAAATACAGACTGAGTGACCATAAACTGGCCATAGAAACAGGGAGGCACAGGAAAAGCAGGCTGGACAGAGAGGACAGGATCTGCACCCACTGCCCATCAGGAGAGACAGAAACTGAGAATCACTTCCTTCTTTCATGTTCAAAATATAAAACCATCAGAGACGCTTTTCTGCCCAAAATTACTAATAAAACCCCCTCCTCCCCCAAACTGACCGACTCCTTCCCCAAACTGACCGACTCAGAGAAAATGAAAATTTTACTGGGAGAAAATGTAGAAACAATAAGTTCAGCAGGACAGTTTATTCAGAACTGCCACAAGATCAGAGAAGAAAATGTAACATAGCACCTCAATTATAGAATTAATATTTCTAATTCCAGATGTTCAAATTGTATTACATTTTTCATATGAACCTTGTTTGTTTTATTTATTTATTTATTTTTAATTATTATTATTTTATTGTATTTTATTTTATTACATTTGGCATGTCCATATTCATTCTATGCTTATATGTATTACCATATTTATTTATTATTATTTTTTTTTCTTTTTTCCCTATTTATTTTCTATTCATTTTTTTTTCCTATTCATTTATATTTTAATAATAATTTAATTTAAGATGTATTTACAGCTTTGGCAACATAGGTCTTATATCCTGTCATAGCAATAAAGCATATTTGATTTGATTTGATTTGATTTGAGAGAGAGAGAGAGAGAGAGAGAGACAGAGATAGAGAGAGAGAGAGAGGGAGAGAGAGAGACAGATATATATATATATATATATATATATAGAGAGAGAGAGAGAGAGAGAGTGACAGAGACAGAGATAGAGAGAGAGACATTTTTCTAGACATTTTTTTCTTGGTCTCAGTGATGTAAGTAATAATCTCACGATCAGAATGAGAAATATCAGTTATATTAACTAGATTACAGTAACTCTCTACAGTAACTTACATTAAAGTGAAGGGAGTTTTTGCTCTCTCCTGTAAAGTTACTGCCCAAACAGTCTTTCTTTGGACAGTGATGATGTGTGTTTTTCTGCTGATCAGCTTATCAGCTTCCACTGCTGCTTGACCAGCATACAAAACACAGCACATGCTGGTTTTAATGGTGACCAGCCAGGCTGGACTGTGGTAGTTTTTCTGGCTGCTCTTGCTCATGAACTGAAAGGGAAGCTAAGTTAGCCTGCTGCCCGCTAAGATATATGATTACTATTATTGATGGATTTTTTGTGAAAGATTAATATAGTGTGTGTGTGTGAGTGTGTGTGAGTGTGTGAGTGTGTGTGTGTGTGTGAGTGTGTGTGAGTGTGTGTGTGTGTGTGAGTGTGTGTGTGTGTGGTGAGTGTGTGTGTGAGTGTGTGTGTGTGTGTGTGTGTGTGAGTGTGTGTGTGTGTGTGTGTGTGTGTGAGTGTGTGTGTGTGTGTGTGTGTGTGTGTGAGTGTGTGTGTGTGTGTATTCTGAGGTTTAGCTGCCTTCAACAGTCATTCTAGCATAACCGCAAGCTAGCATGACTAGTGCAGAGGTTTTGCACACAAACACACAATCTCTAGTTTTGCTGTGTGTGTGTGTGTGTGTGTGTGTGTGTGTGTGTGTGTGTGCGTGTGTGTTGGGAGTGGTTAGCCTGTCAGAGGCTGCTAGCAGTTAGCCCACATGGCTAATCACCAGCAAATAAACACAGATAATATCACAGTTAATCCCAATTGGAGCTGGATTAGATTATCAGAGGAGTTCCTGTAATGTAATCTGTAATCTATGCGTGATTTGACTGTCTGATTCGTACAGGACTGGGGATCCGTGTAATTTCCCCAAATTACCCCAAACAGCCTGGATCCAGACATCACGCGGACGTTTACATCAGCTTTATGACAGGCGCCACTTCCCAACAGTAACAGCACACTGTGCGGCTAAATTGCAAACAAAACCAAAACAAAATGTGACGCCTGACGAGGACGAGACTCTGCATCTCATTTCAGTGTGAAGTGACACACGTTATCAACAGCGATGCTAAATAACGGAGCATAATCACAGCGTACGGAGGGAATAAGCACTGAACCGCTGTGGATCTCAGAAGTGTTGAACTTAAGGAATAACGGACAAATCAAGCTTCATTTAGCTGTTAGCTTCATCTTCAGGTCAAAAAAAGAAAAACAGGTCGTTTTCTATTTACCTTGTTTTGTTATTATTTTACAGTGATGTTGATTTGAACTGCTGTTACTGAGGAGCTCCGAGTTCAGTGGATTTAAAGCCCTACTGGAGCTGGATTAGTTTATCAGAGGAGGTCTGGTATTGTAATCTGTAATCTGTGTGTGATTTGACTGGCCGATTCGTACGGAATAAAGTGTACTCCCTCCACTAGGGGGCGATGGGGTGTTGTACTATCAGGTATACAAGCTAGTTGTATATAATTAATGTTGAATGGCTGTTGGAGAAGAGCTTTTGTATATAACTGGATTAGGACGACACACTTTGTGAACACAACATTTGTTGTGAGTTAATCTGTACAGAGTTAAAACAGCTAACTAGGTACCAACCCTGAGATCTGTAATCCAAACGTTTCCAAACTCCAAAAGGATCTCTGTAATTTCCCCAAACTGCCCGGATTTAAACGTCATTGACCAGACGTTTACATCAGTGTTATGCAACAAGCACCACACTTCTGTACATTAACAACACAGAGTGCAGCTAAATTATATATAGATTAGCATTAGGCTAATAAAATGGGTTCATTCTGCTTAACAAATGCCGCCCAACAAGACAGGAAACACGCTGATGTGTGAGAGGAGCTTTTGAGATATTTCAGCCATCATCAAAAGTGCTGTGGATTTCAATCTCGTCATGAACTCCAGGATTAAGGAGGGGAGTCAAATCAAGCTCCATTTCAGGTTAGCTGGTTTTGTTATTAAACCACTGTGATGTAGGTTTGAGCAGATCTGCTGTTACTGAGGAGCTCTGAGTTCAGCCAGTTATAGAAGAAAATTCACTCTGGAATTATGACTGATCAGACTGTAAAAACACTGCAGATTCATACTGGATTAAACTGCAGATCTCGTCAGTGATCACTCAGATTACAGCACGTCACCCGAGTAAACTAATCCAGCTCCAACAGAGTCTTTCAGTCTTCTAAAACTACTTTTAATCACATTTCCATCAAATCAGTGCAGAGAAACCCAACAATAAACCCAATTACACCCACGTTTAACACACTGTCAACCTCGTTAATGCGGCTGTTGTTGTTTATGCTGAGTTGTTTGTTGTTTACCTGTCCCGCAGCAGACTCGCCGGCTTGCCGTCCTTTTCGCTGGTGGAGATGTTTGGAGACCACGGCCTGAACGCTGAGGGTCTCTGTCTGGGCTGAATGCAGCTAAAACCCTAAAAACACATCAACCAGTTATTATCAGTCAACACATCATTTAAAAATCAGTCAATATATCTAATATTTCTTATTATTAAGAGGGAGATCATTTAACCTATTCATGGATTTATGTCAATGTTTCATCTCATAAGAACAGTTTATATTAAATTAAAACCTCCAGAAATCTCAGAAATATGAGATACAAAATATTACGTTCATTCACCATCACTATTAAAAAGCAGCTACAACTGTTATTTGGTTTGACATTTTACTGGCTTTTAATAATTATTTTGAGAATTTGATTGTTTAAATTTTAATTAACGACTTCTTTTCACTTTCACTATTTTTACTAGAGTCCTCTGTTTTTATCTGCTTTGTGCCTAATCTTGTTTTGGTTTACATTGTTTTTTAATTTAAGTACATTATAACACACTTTTAGCAGCATTTTCATGTGTGAAAAGTGCAATATTAACAAAATTATTACCATTGTTTTATTATTATTATTAAAGCGCATGTCACTGAACTGAAGGTAAGTATGAATTTAAATCCAGTAATAAAACATTTTTCTACAGTTAACTGTATTCCAAACAGCTTCCGTCTACGTTGCTATGATGAATATTGAAGTGATGGATAAAATTACACTGAAAACTTCAGTCTTCCAGGTCGTTGCTATTGTTTTAGCTATGCTAACGTACTTTAGTCCATGTTTATAGATCACAGTGAGTCATACAGACTCAGAAACCACAGAATCAGGACTATTAGAGACACTGAACACCTCCACACAGTTAGAGTGAGCAGTTAGCACTGTGCTTACTGGTGCTCTAGAAGCTTCCTTAGCTCCAGAGCTAATACTAAAGAAGGAAGACAGGTCTTTACTGACCGAATACTTTTGGAAATCTGGGGGAATTAGATTTTTGTCTGAGCTTTAAACAGAAATAAAGGTGGACATAATCACAAAAAAGTGCTTTACTGAGAAACACTCAGAATCTGAAAAAGTGAGAGAGAGTATTTGTTGTGAGGGTCACTCAGCTCTCTCTCTCTCTCTCTCTCTCTTTCTCTCTCCATCTCTCTCTCCCTCTCTCTGTCTCTCTCTCTGTCTCTCTCTCTCTGTCTCTCTCCCTCTCTCTCTCCATCTCTCTCTCCCTCTCTCTGTCTCTCTCTCTGTCTCTCTCCCTCTCTCTCTCCCTCTCTCTCTCTCTCTCTCGGAGGTCAGTGTGTTCGTGTGAAACCGGAGAAAAGCTCCAGACTATTTTCAGCCTCGTGTTTTTAGGAGAATCGATTTTTCTGAAGAACAGCGGCTCTTATTTTGGGCTGAGATCACCTTTCACATCAGCCTGATTCACACTGCCGGCAGGACGGCAGTCGACAAAATAATAATGCTCAGAGACGGAAGAAACCGGACTTTACATAAACCCCACATTAAAACACATAAAAACACTCAGCCAATCAGAGGAGGAACCAGAATTAGTTTACAGCAGAACCAGATCTGAGGAATGATAAACGCTACAGCTCTTCTTTATTTTTCTTTCTTTTTTAATTGTTTCATATTTTAGATTAATAGTGAATTCACCAAAGCTACAGAATACCCCAATCAGGTATACTGATCTTCTGTTTAGACTCCGCCCACCTCACAACACGCCTTATTGGTTAGAACACATTAACAAAGACGTACATTCCACTAATTAACTTTTAACGAAGCATAACGAGAGTGATATAAATAGGGATGATTGGGTTTTAGCATTTTACCATTTTCTAATTTCACCAAATCCGTAAATGACCTTTAATATGAATACGGCTACTTATTAAATAGCATTAAAATAACACAAAAAACAAATATATCATCTCTGTCGGAACAAAATCTCACATCTCCAAAATGGCAACTTTACAGGAGAAGGAAAAAAACACAGTTGACTACTAATGGAAGTTAATGGAAGTAACTGTCGAATCGTTTCTGTTGATCCGTTCATTAAGAACCTTTAACACAATGTTAAGACTAACTGGAGTTTTCAAATTATGCAATTTTAGTAAGACTTTTAATTTTAGATTTTTCATAACTTTAAATTTAAGTTTAAATTCTAGAAATTTTGTATGACTTTAGTGAGTCTTTAAATTTTTGTAAGACTTAATTGTAGAATTTTAATAACACTTTCAATTTAACAACGTGGGTCAAACTTTTAATTGTATAATCTTAGATTTTTAGAATTTCAGTAAGACTTTTAATATTGTGATTTAGATAAGACTTTTATTTTGTGATTTTGAGATGTAGTCTGTAGTGCTGGTAGCTGAGCTGTGCGTTGTCCTGCTGTGTTGCTGGTCTTTAACTCTGGTCATCAGCGTCTCTAATTACAGTCCAGATAAACGTCTTCACTCAGACCGACAACATTAATCACAGACTAACCTTATTGGCCGACGCAGAGAGGGACCGCAGCCAATCAGGTTGCATGTCTTTGTCCACAGAGGGGGAGAGAGCCGGGAAATCTTCCAGCTTCGCCTTCTTAACAGGAACCGGATCAGAAACCTAGAGAGAGAGAGAGAGAGAGAGAGAGAGAGAGAAGAGAGAAATGATGTTACAAAAGAACAGCCTTTACCTCAAAAGCCAACACACTCATGACTATTTATTTATTAATTATATTTCTCTTTATCTTATTGTATTTTTCAGAGTAAAGGCATTAATGTGCTGTGTTGTGCTTTTAAACTTGTCTGATCTGCTGTGTGTCAGTAATATTAGATTTGTTCGCCGTTTCAATCAGACTGTAATCACTGTAATTTATATCATATCATTTATTAATTAAGCACCGTCTGATTAATCTGCTGTGTACATAGTGTGTGTTCAAACACCTGTAAAACACACACACACACACACACACACACACACACACACACACACACACACACACCAATCTGCACAGCAAAAAACACACACAGTCCAGAGCTCTGTCTCAGATAACTCCGCTTAGCTTAGCCAGACACTGGAGGACCACAGCCTTCTTACCAATCAGAGACAACCATCTGACCAATCAGGGACAGCCTTCTGACCAATCAGGGACAGCCTTCTTACCAATCAGAGACAACCATCTGACCAATCAGGGACAGCCTACTGACCAATCAGGGACAGCCTTCTGACCAATCAGAGACAGACTTCTGACCAATCAGAGACAGCCTTCTTACCAATCAGAGACAACCATCTGACCAATCAGGGACAGCCTACTGACCAATCAGGGACAGCCTTCTGACCAATCAGAGACAGACTTCTGACCAATCAGAGACAGCCTTCTGACCAATCAGGGAGAACCTCCTAACCAACTAAGAGGCTTGTATTGACAGTTGATGATGTGTCTAGAACATCCAGATAGGCTAGAGTGATGTTTTTGGTTCCACCCATTGTAAATCAGAGTGTTTTTGGTTCACTTCCTAATGATGCTGATAGGTAATCTAACATGTAAGGCCTTTAGTCCAGCTCCTGAAGTCCTAACCAATGAGAGAGCAGCTCAGCTGAATCTACACAGATACCACAGAGAGAACAATCCTGATTGGATCAATTTCCATCAAGATTTTAACCCTTTTATCACCAACCAGAACTGCAGAATGTAATCAGAGTTTAATTGCAACACAACAAGCACAACAATCTGATTTTCTGCAGTTATCAGGTTATTAAGCGTAAACACACTGAACCAGTTACTGACACAATCAGATTTTCTGCAGTTATCAGATTCTTAAGCGTAAACACACTGAACCAGTTACTGACACAATCAGATTTTCTGCAGTTATCAGATTATTAAATGTCAACACACTGAACCAGTTATGACACAATCTGATTTTCTGCAGTTATCAGATTATTAAGCGTAAACATACTGAATCAGTTACTGACACAATCTGATTTTCTGCAGTTATCAGATTATTAAGCGTAAACATACTGAATCAGTTACTGACACATTCTGATTTTCTGCAGTTATCAGATTATTAAGCGTAAACATACTGAATCAGTTACTGACACAATCTGATTTTCTGCAGTTATCAGATTATTAAGTGTAAACACACTGAACCAGTTATGACAATCTGATTTTCTGCAGTTATCAGATTATTAAACATAAACACACTGAACCAGTTACTGACACAATCAGATTTTCTGCAGTTATCAGATTATTAAACATAAACACACTGAACCAGTTATGACACAATCTGATTTTCTGCAGTTATCAGATTATTAAGTGTAAACACACTGAACCAGTTATGACACAATCTGATTTTCTGCAGTTATCAGATTATTAAACATAAACACACTGAACCAGTTACTGACACTATCTGATTTTCTGCAGTTATCAGATTATTAAGCGTAAACACACTGATCCAGTTACTGACACAATCTGATTTTCTGCAGTTATCAGATTATTAATCGTAAACACACTGAACCAGTTATGACACAATCTGATTTTCTGCAGTTATCAGATTATCAGACTCACTGTTAACAACTGCTCACTCATAAAAGCAGCTTCTACATATCTTTCAGTGTCCATTAAACAAAACAGTTAACTTGGCCTGTAATGTGAGCTCAGTTCACAGCGAGGCTTCGCTCATCTATCACTTCACTAATGACTCACTGTCATGACCATCATGATACATGTTATGTCATAATGTTTATTTTTGTGATAAGCTGAAATGGCTGCATTTAAAACATGAAGACAATTACGAAGCCAGTGATCTGTATTCAACGTTTTACACACTGCGCTGCACTTAATCTAATTAAACAGGACTAATTATGTTGTCTAACATGCAGTTTGATAACAGTGCAGTGCTCAGAAAATCATACCGTGACATAATTTATCACAATCACAATATTGTCGTAATTATCATTATTCATAGAGATCATAGATAAGATATGAGCTGGCATGCAGCCTATTTATTGAAAATATTTAAGATATTTTATGTGTGTAATAATTTGTAGTGTGATTTAAAGTCCACCCATTTTCCAAAATCCCCCCATAACTCAGTGTTTGAGGTGTAAACAGAGAGATTCAGAGTGGTTTGGTGTGAAATGGTTCAGATGTCTTTACAGTGGTGGTGATAGGAACCAGGGGTCGCCATGACTACAACACAGATATAGACATTTTATTTACTATCCAGAACCACCAGTGAACCTACACGAGTCTTCTGAGTCTATATGGAATGTTGATGATGGAAAATAGTGGAAAATCTGAAATAATAAGTTTTCTTTGGGGACTATTTTGCCTCACAGCGCCCTGCATGTATCCCTCCACCATGAATGGAGTTTAAGTTCTCTAAACTATCATAAAACAGTGTCTCAGTCATCAGGCAGTGAATTCATAACCATTTCATGTAGGAACTTTCTGTGAGGGAGCTTTTAGAGGTGGACGTCTGGTTCCTATCACCACCACTGTGAACAGTTCTGACTCGTTAAGTTTATCTAGAACAGACTGTTTCACACCAAACCACTCTGAACTGCTCTGAACCACTCTGACCCACTCTGACCCACTCTGACCCACTCTGTTTACATCTTAACTGGTTAATTGTGCAGGAATTTTGAAAAACAATGGAGTTCCCCTTTATAACTCTGCTTAGAAGCCTAATGTAATGTGTGTTCTCTTGTTTAATGTGTTGATATCAGAGTGTAAAGGGTCCTAACGGTTTAACAGGTGACCAGTGGCTGATTTCAAATGCATTTAATCTCCACATGGGACCTAAAGGTGTTCTACAGCAAACCAGTGCTCTCCATATAAAACCATTAAGCCAATTCCCTTTAAAGAACAAATCCGTAGGTCTGAATCCTTTTTTATCAGGAGCTCCTGTTCTGTGTGGTAAAATCACTGTAAGGCTCATCAGGCGGATCACGGCTCCAGTTCAGCGTCGCGCTGCTGCAGACGAGCTGCTCCTGTAACTCACAGCCGAAAACCACCAAACCGGTTCTGCAGTTTCTGCCTCTGCAGCCTCTGTGTGACCCGAGCGCCTCAGCCGGAAGGGAGGGACTTCCTGCACAGCCAGCGTCTCTCTCTCTCTCTCTCTCTCTCTCTCTCGCTCTGTCTGTCTGTTTTTTTCACTCCCTTTCATCTTCATTTCCTCCACCTGTCTGTTACTCTCTCACTCCATTTCTTCATTCTTTCTTACCTTTTTATTTTTTCTTCACTTTCTTTCTCTTGTTTTACTTCTTTTTCCTTGTTTTTGTTCTTCTTTTCCTTTTCTTTCTTTGTAGTTTTTTCTTTTCTTTCTATACTTTCCTGCTCTCTCTCTCTCTCTCTCTCTCTCTCTCTCTCTCTCTCTCTCTCTCAGACACCTCAGTAAATCCTGACAGACTCAGAGCTCAGTGTGAGTGTGCAGGTGTCAGACTGTCTGAACGTCTCTAAAAGCATTACACACTCTTATTTACACTGTCTAAGAACTGTGTGTGTGTGTGTTTATGTGTGTGTGTGTGTACTGGTCTTATTATCACTGTGAGGACTAAAAGCCCTTGATATGATAATGATAAACCGTTTTGTACAAATGAGCACATTTTTTAGATGGTTTAGGTTTAGTGTTACTGAGGTAAGGTTCAGGTTCAGGTTTAGGTTTAGTGTTACTGAGGTAAGGTTCAGGTTCAGGTTTAGGTTTAGTGTTATTTGGCTATAGTAATATAGAAACCCTCACAAGCACAGCAAGACCAACATGTGTGTGTGTGAAGGAAGTTGAGGTGTGTGTGTAGAAGGTGGAGGGTTTGGGGTGTGTGCATGCGGTCGGTGTGTGTTGAGGTTGAGGCGTGTGTGTGTGTGTGTGTGTGTGTGTGTGTGTGTGTGTGTGTGTGTTCTGAGGTTCTGAGAAACGCAGAGCTGCTTTCTGGAACTAAGACTGCAAGACGAAAACAGGCACATGCCTATCTGTCTGTGTGTCTGTGTGTCTGTCTGTCTGTCTATAATCATTCAGTAACAGTGTGTCTCAGACTCCAGATAACCTGTTCCTCTCTCTGTTCCTCTAAACTCTCACTCTTCTGTCTTAGAGCGACAGATCAATGAACCATCATAACCCTGCTCACCCCAAAAATCAGCCAATCAGATAAAACTACAGAGCTGCGAGGCTGATAGACTTGATAGACTTCATTATGTAGTGTCTGACACTGTGTGACTCACTGTAATCTATAAACATGACTACAGAACCTGTTCAGTACAAACTGTAACACAGTTCAGTACAAATGAACACAATACGCTGTGATACGATTCGATACACTGCGTTACTAAATCTCCACTTTGAAGAGTCAGACTGGAATAACATCCTCACTGAGGAGCCGAGCTGAGATTAACACCAGCACAGTGTGTGTGTGTGTGTGTGTGTGTGTGTGTGTGTGTGTGTTCAGTGGGAGGCTGGACTTCCAGGAAGAGTTCACTCAGACATAACACAGCCACATTAAACACACAAACACACACAAAACAAAACAACACAAAAATGCAAACACACACACACACAGAGCCACATGGAGAGTTGGTCAGGACAGCTGCACTCTCTCTCTCTCTCTCTCTCTCTCTCTCTCTCTCTCTC